TGATGCTTTAAACCTGGTTACCAGCATGGTCTGTGTCCTGTGTGATTTGCCTCCTATAGAAACTGATGCAACTGGCTGGCTTTGCAAACAATGTAAATCTACTTCTAAAGAACCCAATCCAAGTTAAAACTCACCCATATTAACATATTCATATAGCTTTTACATCTGAATGGGAGATGCAAACAGCCAGTTAACCAGGATTTTCTGAATTCAGTGGTCTTAATTCATGCAACCCACCTGAATGATAAACTAATCAAGTTGGTTGGGTTTGACTGGCAGTCTGAACCCCCAAATAACCAACCATATTTATATTAGGGTGCTGAGTGAACTCAGCCACCAAGTGAGGTTCGCTTGCTTTTGCCTTAATGCAAACCCAGCGATTGTGGGTTGATAAATGGACCCGTATGAGCCCAACCGTGGTTAAGCACTGCACTGGCTGTGATGTGTGAACCAGGTTGGTGGGTTTGCAGATCTAGGAAATCCTTCCTTCTTGCTTTCAACTTTCCATCCTAGCCCCTCACTAGTTTCCTATCCAAGTTCCAACTAAGCCCAACCCTGCTTAACTTTTAAAGATGAGCCCATGTGCTCTCTATAAACTCTCTTTAGAGCCGTGCAACGCTTTGGGGGCTTCAGGGAGTTAGGGACAAGTGCTGTGTTGCTATTCCCATGTGTTCCAAAGCACTCCTTTTGAACTGAATCCAAGGATGTGGCATACATATAAGCCTACATAAAACAAAGTTGATTTCACAAACCTAGCAACCGCCTACCTCTTTGGAAAACAATCCTTGGACCAATTTTCTTCAGCAATGAAAACATTTACCTACAGAATTTCTATCTGCCATCCAGTTCTTAAGGGCCTGAGAAGGAAGGTGGGGAAAGGGGGAAAAAATCTTCCAGGGAAAAAGATGTCACTACAAAGGTAGGTCTTGTGCAGAAACACTTGGATGCATGTTCTTTATAACAAGATAATTATCTTTGTTGTTTAAATAGATCCCCTCTGAATTCCTATATTGGATGTTGTAAGCAATAATGGGTTCTCTCTTCATTCCAGCCGTAGACTCCAATCTGGGCAAAGAGCAGCCAAGAGGGTAGTTAGTAGATTCTTAAGTTCAGGAAGCAATAGAACCTGCTTAGAACTAGAACCCATGGTTGTCTTTTTCTAGGAGTTATACTCCTGGTTGGGTCAACTGTGGTTTATTGAATATAATATTTATAAACAATCTTAGCATGGCATGTGAACAGAATCACTGTGTGCATTGCTTGCTTGTAATTTGTAAATCAGTTTTATAGTGTGATTTGTAAGGTATAGTTCATGGCTAAGAGTGATTTGTAAGTTATGGTTCATGGCTAAGAGTGATGTAGCGCTGGGGTCAGGATCTTTAATGTCCCTGCAGGCATTTCTGTGGCTGCTCACCGCACAACTGTTGAGATCTGTTTCAATTAAAGCAGCCTCTAGCATCAATATTATCTCCAAGAATAACTCCATAAATGAGCTCCATAAATGATGAGTTAGCCTCCTCCCTCCAAAATTCTGGGAATCCCTGACTTCACGCATTGTGTGAACCTGGACAATGTCACAGTCCCCTTGCTTCTGCATTCCTTCTCCCATCACCAAAGAATTCCAAGGTAATTCAGAAGAACTGAGATTGGACTAGACATGGTCTATGCAGATATGAAGAAAGTATCTTTCACTCTTCAGTGAGAAAAAAGAAAACCCCTTTTCCCCTTACTTCTGGCCCTGTGTGACATAATCTTGGTATCCAAAATGTGATGGAGGCTTCAAAATGTGAACCCTGGAAACTGAAAAAGCATTCCAAAAATAGGTAAGGTTGAGAAATATAAACTCAGTATTTCATAAGTAGACAGATTTCTCATTTGAGGAATCAATCTTGTTTTTTCTTTTAACTGGAATCCAGAGATCTATCAAGCAAACATTAGAGCAAAAAATGGATATTCAGAATTAAAACTCTCTGAACAATCCAAAGCGTAAAAAATAGTTTTGGAAACTAATTTCAACACATATCCCTTTCACGCAAAAATTTGCTTATCCCAAATGTTCTTCCATACAATTCAGGGGTGGGGATTTGTTCAGTGAGTGGTAGCCTGCTTCAAACCACCCAGTTGAACACTCTGTTTACATCTATCTTCTAGCCATTCCTACCATGCATTGCCATGCAAATTATTAAATGATTTCCACAGTTCATAATAGCGCTTTTATTTTTTTAAAGATCTTTAAAAAGTCATCCAAGAACAGAATGAGGAACACCAGTAGGCAGAAAATGCAAACCTATGACCAAACATCACAATGTCAGTTTGCCTTGGGAATCGATTCCTTGACATAAAAAATGAAACAACTCCCGTAGTTGAATAATTTTTAAACCATTTGAGGATCATGTCCATTCAGGCTTGAGAGGAGGTCTCAGAAAATGGCCATCGCTAGCCAAGGACATTTAAGTGGCACATGAATTTCTTTGCGGTAATGACAAATGTGGCAAATCAACCCTAATGATGATGGTTATATCACGCACCATACTCAGAGATGCAATAAACCCAAAAATACCAGAAATCAAAAGGCACCATAAGATACAGTTTCTGAGACACAAAGAAAACTAGAACTTGATGTCTTAGTAAATGACAAGTACTTCCCATTTTTAAAAAGTACAAGGAAAAGAAGTAAAATTTCAAAATATCCCTGTAAAAGCATCACTTAGAAACATGTAAACTTGACATTTTCAGTAGCATTAAGAAGTTAACACAAGAGAATATAAAACAAAGTGGATCGGTAAGACTACAAATGCTCACTTCCCATCCGTCCCATCTGGCAAAAAAAAGTTTACTTACAAAAATATTTTTTTTAAAAATTGCAACTGCCCGTGATGAAGCACAATATTCTCTTGCGTTGGGTAGTCTGTATGGTAACTTACAGATTTGAGAAAAAAATGCCATTACTCTGAAAACTACTATCACCCTGTTAAGAATTGATGTCATCAATAAAATACCAAATACGATTCAAGAGACAGCCAACTGTAATTTATAGTACAATCTAAGGAGGTCAGTTCAGAATTTAACAAAACTTACACCCAACCAAGCATAGTCATCATTAATAAAATAGAGTGGCCAGTAATCTCCAATTAAGGAGATGTTTGAAAGTTCTGGAAAATGCCTAGCTACTCAAAATAATATACCGTCTTGGTAGTTAAGACTGAGATCCTATGAGTACTGATGCTACAAATATCATTCGTAACAACTGAACTAACATGAGAAACCTCAACATGAGAGGCCTTCAGATGTGTTGAATCCATAACTCCCATCATATCTGAAGAGCATTGGGTAGGAAGCAATTCTAAATCCTATTTTATGATACCCAAGTGTAAAAGAAGTCTTGGAGGATGAGGAGTATTTCAAAACACGACTGATGGAGAACAAATGGATGTTTCAGTCTTATCTGGCAAAGAGCCATTAGCCCTTCAGTGAAGCAATCTGGGAAAAAGCAACTCAAACTATCCTTAGAGATGCCACCTTAATGAATTCACTAAAATGAAGGCTTATTCAAGTTTTCAGTCTTTTTTCCTCCTGGCATTAAACCTGATTAATGAAACTCCTTTTGAAATTTTCCTTCTACTATATGGTTGAATGTTGTTAGGGGCTTGACGCCAAAGGTGAAAAACATGGGTCAAACTAACAAGCCAAATCCCATTTAGTCACATGAAAGACATTCTCCTTGATATCCTGTCCTGTTATTTATGTTTTTATGTACTACTAGAAGAACTAGTTATCCATGGATCAGCCTTCTGGTGCATCAAACATTTACTGAATTAAGAGACTGAAGTGAATGGCTTCTGAACAGTTGGAATTCGACAACCAGGAACACAGTTTGAAGCAGACTAAAGTTCCAACCAAGTCTCAGTTTAATATCCATTTAAATTCAAATCACAGTTCTGAAGGAATCTGAATATTCAGGAAGGCAGCTGCACATCAAATTGGGCCCTTTCTTATTGCTGAATCTTGTCTATGCTGGCCCCATTATGATTATTCAGGAGCGATCAGAAGTCTTTCCATAAAGGACAATGATCAAGAAAATGAGCTCTTAGGAGCAAACATTCCTCTGTTACCAGAAACTTGTGTTTATATGCAAAGATGGAATCCAATACCCCAAAAAGGCCTTCTTTTCTTTGTTTGGATAAAGTAACCTGATATTTTCCAAAGTAGTTCCTACTCAGATTTCTGCAACCCACCAAAAAAATCTGTAAGACTTCAACGTTCCTCATGGCCAAATGGGGCTGAAACCCAGTATTTCTAGCTTGGAAACAGCTGGCCAAAAACAGGATTTTAAGTACTGTTATAATTCCCCAAGTCTCTAATTCCCCTCCTTTTACTTATTTATTTTTTTTGGCCATGCTTGTAAACAGATTAAGTGAGCATTCTTCTTTATCAAAGAAGATAAATGCTGTATTTCACACGTTGAGGCAACCTCACCAGGAATTTAAAAGGCACTCAATTCATTCTCTGATTGTCAGAACAAAATCTTGGGCCTCTTCTTTGATCCTGAAACAGGAGATCTTAATATTTCTCCTACTGCAGAAGATTTCTGGGTGCAACCCACTCAGACAGGCTTACCAGAAATACTCCAAATAAATCATCTGCTCCTTTAGCTTACTGGTACAAATGCAGTTTTCTGAATTGGTTTGGTAGGAAGGGATATTGTGGTATCTTAAAAAAAAAAAAAAAAAAGCATAGAAGAATGTTTATTAACACCTGAACTTCCAACCCAATCAAATTTTGCTTTCATACTGTGGGATAAAGGCAATTTTTGCAACATCCCAGTTCGCAAACAATAATTGCATTAATAATTCTTATAACAAATCTCCCTTATCTTATTTAGTAGGCCTGTTATACCAGGCCCTTCTATCAAACTGAAGCGAGTACAGCTGGGCTTGGGTAATTGTAATTCTATTGTGAATTTGATTAAAGAAGACTGCTCCCTCCAATATGCATATATTTTTTTCTTTTGTCACAGCTTGGATTCACTTTCAGGACCCTGGAAAAAAAGAGAGTCTTTATTTTGTTTAAGAGTACTCCTCCAGAAACTTTATATGGAAATTTTTCACTTTCTCCAATAAGATCTTTAGTTTCTCTACTGGTGGGAGAATAGTCATCCTAGAGGGAAAAGAAAAGGTACTTTAATGAATATTTTGTGGAAGGTACAAGGAAATAATTCTATTGCGATCTGGACAACAGTATCTGTAATACCAGACGTACCTGAAGTGGTAAGTTCCTTCTCTTTGGCCAAACCCACTTCCAGGAACAACACAGATTCCGGTTTCTTCCAAAAGTTTCATACAGTAGAACATGTCAGGAGCCATTTGATGGGCCTGGAGTAATTTGAAGTCAAATGGCTTAATTACTAATAACACAGTCCTTTCAAAATGCTGTGCTGGCTTCTGAATATTGTGCTATTCTGAATGGTTAAAAAGCTGTGAATGCTCTCACGTTCAGATCTGATCATGTATTTTCTTGCATCCTTGTAGTTTAGCATTTAACTTTGGGTGTAGGTTTAAAAGAAGCCAGTTGGAAGAGGGAAGGATGACCAACTACACAATGTCTACTTTAGATCGTACCCTCAGATTTACCTGTGCTTCTCATCTCAAATGTCTTGGTGGTGGACCTCAAACGTCTAGGAAAGCACGCTGATGATTTCTAGTTAACTATGGACTGGAATGGGGGCCTGAGGGCTGCACTAAATGACTGGGCACCATGGGTTGCCTGTCCCTCCATTAACAGCAGCACGTTGGTCTGCCACCAAGCCTGATTCCTAATACTGTGAGGAAAATATATCTTTGGGTGAAAGAAGCAAGCTTTTAGAGGCCTTAGATGAATGGGATCGCCTTAATAAAATTGAAACATAAAGGAATGTGCAACACCCTTGAAGCTGGTGTGAACTAGGCTGAGTGTAAACTCCTTATCACAAATATCCCCATAGCAACGTAAGGGAGGATGCCTTCTTCCTGGCAGGTGGCATCTTGAGCCGATTTGTTGCTTCCCCTCTGACACTATTGCTTTCCTTATAGCTAGCAGTTGTTCTGTCCTTGTAGATAACAGCCAAGAACAGGGGCAGAAGGTAACTTGAGAAGTTTACTCATTTAGGTACGCCTGCATCATTGTATGAATATGTACACGTATGTGTTCTTTTCCCTTCCCCTTCTTATAGAACAGTATAAATATCAGGGCATCCATTTTGCCTACAGGGGAGTGTCTCCCACTAACCTTTGGTGGGGTCCCCCTCCAGTGTGTACTGTCTAATAAGCACTGCAGTGAAGCCTTGATTATTTTGCATTTGTGTCCTGCGTTTTGATTCCACAATACAACATGCCACGTCTATTCTTTTTCTATCCGACAACCAGTTGTTAAAGGCACGTACTCTCACCCCATGTTCTACCTAAAGCAGGAGAACTTCTCCAGTTTGATTCAGCAGCAATAACATTTCTGTAGAGGAGGGAATTCTCACCTTTGCCATTTCAATGGCCTTGGCAGGGATAAAAATTCGTGGGAAAGCGTACATGGCTCCTTGAAGCGGATTACAGTGGATCCCTGGCATTTGATTGAACAAGTCTTCTGTTAGTTTGGCTTTCATTGCAAGGTTGTTCAAGACAGATTCCTTTTCCTGTGCCAGGAAAAGTGAAAGAATGTCACACAGGGGACACCTAGACTGTGCAGCCCAAACCAGCTGGCATTATTTTACAGCTCTTACTTAATTCCTTAGGGCACCTGTTCTTAAAGTTTCTCAGCACCACCCACCCTCCATCTAAACTTCCATCATCCTACAATCTGCATTTTCTTGGCTGGAGAATGAGGTCCAGAGTCTTGCATCCCACTAACAAAAGAAATCATGGAAAGAGTGGATGAGTGAATGAGTAAAAAATTATTCCAGCGAGGAGGACATAGTCAGCTGGGATAGTCCTTTGGGACAGTAGGCAGTTCAATTAGTAAAATATGCACTTGACTTGATTCTTCAGTTATCTCTGGTTTCTAAGTTTTGCTATGCACTGTTTCTGTTGAAAGTTATCTGGGTTCCTGTGTGGTTTTTTGGTTGGCTTGAAATGTTGGGTGAACCCAGCCAGGGGTATAAATCCAATCCAACCCAAGTGTGAACCCAAACACTATCACAGACACGTTGTTTTCAGTGGCTTTAAACCCTGCCTGCCACTTTAGACGACTGTAGGCGTTCTCAGTCGGGGGTCCTCAGATGCTGGTTGGGAATGCCTGGAGTTAAGGTCAAGTACATTTGAAAAGGCACCAGATGGCTAGGGTTTTTTTAAATCCCCCAAATAGATGTTTGAAAATTAAAAGCAAATTTTGCTTTGGAAAATGGATCCCAAATGAACCCTAATGGATAGACTGAAAATGTGATATTTTCTTAAGGGTTTCTTTTAACACCTATTTTCGTTCCCATCTTCTCTGGCTGCCAGACATTCAAGAGCTTCTGGTGGCTTTCAGAAAGGTGGAAAAATGAAAGCATCTCATACACACACACACACCTTAATGAACTGTGCATATGATTCCTCTCCGGGAACAGGGGGGTTCACGACAATATCCATGGCTGCTTGACCTGAGACAGGCGGACACAGACGAACAGAGAGGATCTTAACCAGCTGCCCTTTAATTTCTGGATGCAGGTTAATCACCTCCATGTAGCCTCCTCGATAGCCACACCTGAAAACAAGGCAGAAGCAGCAGAAACAGAAAAGAAAAAAGAGAGAGAGAGGGAGAAAAGTGGTCATAGGGAAAACAAGCATGAAACAAGCAGCAGAAACAGAAAAGAAAAAAGAGAGAGAGAGGGAGAAAAGTGGTCATAGGGAAAACAAGCATGAAACTCTTGAAATGCCAGAAATGCCACCTATCAAACCAACAATTAATGCAGGATCCTATTTTAATCTTCTTCTTGTGAGAAAGGAACATCAACTGCTCAGTGGATTGGGCTGGCATATAAACCAGGGCCATCCATTGTGGAGGGAGGGTTAAAAAATCATAGTTAATATTGACAGAAACTTTCTTTTTTTTAATCTCTAAAGGTTTAAGTTATCTAAATCATCAGAGTATTAATAATCTCCAGTCAACACTGTATAAATACCAGTATACCCAAATAATATAATGTACTAATTGTGTTTTATCATAATACAATATATACCAGGCAATATAATAAAATAATTTTTTTTTAAAAAGTCAACATATGCCACGCCCGTGCAATTCAAGCCATGCCCCTTTTTATGCAAAAGGACTGAGGTGTTGATCACACGGTTATGGCCACCCTCTTCTCTTGACCATCTTGAAGCCCCAGCAAGTAATTAAATAAATAAAGTACTGCAAGGCAAAAAAACCCAAAAAAACAACACCACAGCTGTTTCAACAGCTGTGAAACTTACTCGCCCATGTAGCCCTTGGAAGTGGAATGAAAAGAAGCAAGTTCAACATTATTCCAATAATCCGGTCCCATCTCGTAAAGGATCTTCTTGAAGGAGTGGAACTGGCAGTTCTCTGAGTAGACGTTGTCTTGATAAACCTGCACCCCAGAAAAGATAAGGTAGGCCCCTCACTTTTCAAAAAAACCCCCCACATTTTAGGACTCAGATATATGGCAGGGAAAGAGAGATGGCCGACAGTCTAGAGCTCTTGATGACCCTTAGCTTGTGTGCTCATGCACACCTCCATTTGCACCCAGCAGATGTCATTCTCTTTGTTTTTTTACATTCTTTTATCGTAAGTAAAAACACTGTCGTGCTCCAAAGGAAGTGCCAGCCTCTAATATCATCCTGAGTTGCAGGAGGGTCTCTGGGTCCTCTGTCAAAAGGTAAGCACGCATGGAAACCCACCATTTTCATTTTCTAAGAATGATCATGAGACCTATGGAGGGTCCAGGTGTAATGGTATGTGGGAAAGACCTCGGGAGACTGGGCCAAGAGACACTGGCTCGGGAACGGTCAGATAAGACAGCATAGCCCGCAGCTGGATAGTGGGTGGGGCAAGAGGTTCAGAAAAGACCCTCCCTAGTTTCTTGGGCTGTAAAGGAGATGGTGGGGGAGAATTGTACTTTCAGATTTGCAAGGTTGATGTCAGCCTTACTAGGTAGACCAGACAGGGAAACATGACCAGATGAGCAAATTCTAAAGCTACATTAACAGAATCTTGCAAGCCTGAAAGTACATTTCTCCCACCGTTACCTTTACAGCCTGAGAACTTAGGGATGGTCCTTTCTGAGCCTCTTGCTCTGCCCACTGTGCAACTGTGGGCTATGCTGTCTCTTATCTGACTGTTCCCTAGGCAGAGTATCTTCATCCTATCTCTCAAGGTCATTCCCACATACCATTACATCAGGGATATGTGTGTGTCTGTGTGTCTAGGACAAATAATGTATCAATTTGTCTTTTAGGATCTGAGTGTTTTGTGATTGGCCCCACTGATCATGGTGGCCATTTTGTGAGAACATCACAACAATACATGCTCTCCAAATTCCAAGTACGCTGTTGTCTCCAAGGTGTAATATTTTCTTTACCTCATCAGCCAGAAGAAACAGCTTCTCTTCCCAGGCAAAGTGTATCACCTCTTCAATACATTTTCTGTTTTGAACTTGACCTAAAATTCATGAAGAAATGGGAAAGAAGATTCAAAGCAGTCCTCCCTTCAAAGGAAGCAGAGGATATGTCAATCGTTTCTTAATTCCAGACCAAAAGAGCAACCGTCTTAGCTTTTCGCAATTAAGTTATTAATGGAGGGGAAATATGGACCACTGTTCTGCCAAAAAATACATTAACAGAGGAAAAGTCAAGCAATATAAAAGATATTCTGAAACTGTTCCCTGCCCTAAAAAAGCCTCACTAGATTTGCAAGAAACCAATTAAGTCAGGAAAATTAATAAGGTAAAACAAACCAAGAGTCATATTGCCTGGATTAATTTATCTCAACATTAATTTAGCCCAATTTGGGAAGAGGAATTTGGAACTACAATTTTGGAGTTGAAAAATGTATGCCACTGACTTTCTGGGGAAGCCGACAGGGAAGGTCGAAAATGGTGATCACATGGTCATGGGGCGCTGCAACCAGTCGTTAAGTGCGAGCTAGTTGCATGTGATCATGTGACCGCGGGGGTGCTGGGACGGCCAGAACTCTGAGGACTGGTTGCAACTGCCATTCATTCAGCACCATCATAACTTTGAATGGTCACTGAACAAATGATCTAAGTCAAGGACTACCTGTACACACATATCATGATTTACTGCAACCTATGAACCAGGCCATAGAGAAATGATGCAGAAAAGTGTGAAGAGCAGACCTGTAGAACTTTTGCACACCTGTGGGATTTCCAGGATTAATGATGCAAAGAACCTTAGGATTACAGTATGCTTTGGCTTCATATAAGGAACGGCGTAATTCATTCACATTTAGGGCCCAGCAGTTCTCTTCGTCCAGGTAATAGTTCACCTGAATGGCGTCCAATTCAGAAATGGCAGCTGAATATAAAGGATACTGAGGAATTGGGATCATCACTCCGGTTCGGGATCTCCCTCCTCCAGAGACAAGGATCTTGAGAATGGTCTGGAAGATTGAGGAAAGATAATTTTTATTATAATTTTCTTTGCTCTGCCCGATCCCCAAACTGTATTAAACATATATAAGAGTATCCTTCATGTTTTTTAAAAAAAATCAATGAGAAAAGAACGTTAAGAAGCTTTTTTTCTGGAAGTCTTTGAAAAGGCTGGATCAATAGAACTGCTGATCCAGGAATCCTGTAATACCAAACTATACCAGGCGATGGCATTTTAATAGTGCTATTTGTTTTGTTTAAGGTAGCAAAAACAGCAGGAGAGACAAAGGGAACAGGACAGAAAGGAGGCAGGCAAATCTTGATGGATTTTTGTTTGAAATAACCCCACCGAGTGCAAAATGAAGCTGGATTTTCTCCTGACAATCATCCAGGATTGTAGCCCCTGGATTTACAGTTGTAACGGAGGAGGAGATGAAAGAGTGAGATCACATGAGAAAAAGATCTCTACCCACAGCAAATTAGGCTGAGCATTTTTTTCCTTTTTCAACTTTCCATTTGGTTCTTTCATTCAGTCGGGAAAAAACTTGGTCCTCTGTCCCAAACGTGAAGAACCTCACATCAGAAGACGCCCCAGATGCCACCTACAGCAATGCCGTCGCTTGCTCCCGTTGTCAAGTAGATGTTCTCTGGATCTGCGGGAACGCCGCCATCTCTCCGCTCAATGTAAGCCGCTACATCTTCACGGATGCAATTGATCCCTTGGCTGGCACTGTATGAACCTGTGAAAGGAAGGAAAAGGCCATCAGAAAACCGAAAGCGGAGAAAGAGAAACTGTAGCCCTCAGGTCTCTCAAGTGGCATCCTTTCTCCCATCACTTTCATAGCTGCGGTGGCAGCCTGCAGTAAAACCATGCGCCAACTGCACTCACACAATGTGAAAAGCCAAAGACAACAAACCATATTACCACTTAGAACAATGAATCCAGCCACCGAGAAGCCAATTTTGTCTAAAATCTCTGGCAGTCAGGTGCGGTCTGAAGTAGCCTTCTGCCAACAAATGCATGGAGTTACTAATGGTATAATTCCATCCATCTTCTCCTTTTCCCTTCAGGTGGGATCCCATCGAAGTGGCTAATGCCACCGTTAAAGAACACACGCACAGAGAAAAGAAGAACAGCTCGAGGAAGATGCAATTAGAAATGAAGCTCAAAAGAAAATCAAAATCATTCATAAGTGCAACACATTTATACAACTACCTAGGAAAACGTGCGGGTTCTCTATCCGTTACTTCTGTCCGTCAAATGAACTGATCAATTAACAACATACTCATATGGAATAAAGATTAAATCTGGGAGAGATTTTTTTCCCCTTTCTGTCATCTCCTTGAAACCAAGACAGCCTTGCGGCTGTCTTTCAGAAAAAATGTCCTGATCAAGCAGTACATTTGTCACTTCGGTCTCCATCTGCTCGAGGCCCAATGCCTTAAATTAATCTCAAAACAGCCCCAGATCTTCCCCACCCCTCTTTCTGAGACCACGAAACATTGGCCCTTTACAAGAAACAGAATGAAAACATACCCGGTACACATAGGTACCAGGAGAGCTTTGAGTAACAATTTGAAGAAAGCTGACATTCAGCAGGAAGCAGATTTATGCTTCAGCGATATCTTGCAATGTGCTTTTCAAGGTCTCCGCTCCAGCAGATCCACAGAGAAATGCCTTTTGTGAGTGTCTCATCTTTTCTTTGTGCCCTGCTAGTGCTGTCTGGATCCTGAGATCTTGGAATTGATTTAAAACTGAGCTTTTAACTTGAGACTGCAGAGAGATTCACCAAACATGGCCAAGACTCAAAGAGAAACAACATCTTCTCCTCATATCAAAACAGTTACAAGCTTTTTTGTTGATAGCAAGGTGACAAATGAAAATGTGCGGTCAAAGCACCTCCAACAACCACAGAGGTTGAAACTTCCTTGCAAAGAATTAAAAAAAGGACCACTTGTGTCTCAGACAGGAAGACGCCATGTACATACAGGGATCGCCTTGTGTCATCTCTTGCCCAATTATACTTCCTTATATATCTAGTTAAACTAGTTTTGAAGTTTAACTGTTATTAAGGAAGCCTCAAAAAATGTGTGTGAACATAAGGAACAGGATGAAGGACGACGAGCAAAAAGAGATTCAGATAGACTGGCCTGGTTGCTACTGACTTTCATCCCAGCTAGCATTTCATCTTCTAGTTTGAGATGGGAAAGGTGTGTCTCATTTGGATTCAATGTTAAGCTGTGAGACACTTCTACTGTGCAGTTTCTAATATTTCTGGCTGTATCTCAGTAAATTATTCCAGTTCAACTCATGTCTAGATACAATGCACTGGGAACTTCTTGAACTGGTGATGACAACGCTGATTATAACACATCACTCTACAGGACTGATTATATCCTATCAAGTTGGTGTTGACTCTTAGCGACCACCTGGATTGATTTTCTCCACAATGACTCAACAGAATACTAAAAATAAAGAAAATATATAAGCAGCACCTAGCTTTGTACATTGTGGTAAGCCAAAATGTGGTTTGCTCATTTATGCTACATGCATTGTGTGAACCCAGCCAACTGTGCCTTATTCAACAAACCATGACTTATCATGTACGGATCCTATTCTATGCATTTTGCACTGATGTGGAAGTCATACAAAACAAAAGCATATATACAAGTGGGTCTTTAGGATTTCTATTTTTACATCTGAAAAAGAAGGTTGGCATTTACAAGCAAATGAATTATGAAACAATCTAAAAGGAGATGTTCATTGATCAGCCTGATGAAGATTGATAGTCACACTGCAATACATAAAGGCATCAAGCAAAAAACTGTGATGCAAAATAATTAGAAACACATAAACGCAGGTACAAATCTAGCAAACAAATCAATGAAACATGAAAGCTGATACAGCCATTATCTAATTATAAGCCACTTTCACGTTAGTCAACCTCCTAGGTTGCAAATAGATCCAAAATTGTTTGCAACCAAAAACTGACTCAGTAGTCAACAAAATCTGGATAGTCGTCAGAAAGAACGAATCCAAACTGGAGTCTAACGAATCTCTCTGAATCTCCAAACAACATTTGGGATTGAGTTTCGCACACCAATGAAAACCAAAAGTGCCAAAAAAGAGAAAACTTGCGAGTAACCCTGGACAAATTATTTAGCTAAGTGATCACATCCAAATTAGTTTATCATGTGTAATAAGCAACAACAAATGAAACAACTGAAAAGAAGGTGAAAAGAAGGTGAAAAGAAACAGAAAAGAAGGTAAAATGTGTTGGAAATCAGGGGAAAACAAAAGATCACCATTGGAAAGTGATCACTTAAAAACCTTTTTTTCCTTTCTAGCTTACATCTAGAGCCAGCTACTATCACACAGAAGTAAGGTCTTCTATTCTTCCACATTCACACTCTAAAATGACAGCCCATAGAGAGGGCGAGGATATAATGCGAAAGGGTTACAAAAATACCTAAGCTGTTCCCTCCACAACCCTGCAAGATCCGTCTTGCCCTCTTCTTGGAATCTTCTGGAAAACTGGGGCTGTCCAATAGGTTGGGGTAAGTGCAAAGCGCTACCACCTACACAGTCCAGAAAACACATGGAAAGGGATTAACGTTTAAATCTTTAAACATAAACAGCTTTAACAGCTTTAAACATAACAATTCAAAGCAATCTGTAAAACGATTCCAGTCTTGCTCTATTACCCCAGATGAATGATTTTGGAGGACTGCTGGGATTTTTTCATGTCAAAAAGTCCTAAGATTCTTCCCCCCGCCCAAAAAAGCATTTCTTCTTAAGATGCATCTTCCACAATGAGTAACAGGAGATTAGGAAGGACCCCATTGTTTTGTGTTAACACTAAAACAGTTTTTAAAATGGAACCGACATAAAAACCTTGGTCCAATTTTAATGTAGAGCTATCTGGGAGTCCTTGGCTTGACGCGTATTCTCTTCCCTTGAAAAACAGCTTGATTCACTGCAAATACCCTTATTTCTTCAAAACTTCCTTCCATGGAAATCACCATAGTGCAAGATACCTACAGGGCAGTGTTTCTCAACCTTGACAACTTTAAGATGTGTGGACTTCAACTCCCACAATTCCCCAGCCAGTTGTGGGAGTTGAAGTCCACACATCTTAAAATTGTCAAGGTTGAGAAACACTGCTACAGGGAATCTCCCACTAAAGGGTCATTGCCGCATATGTCTTTGCTACAATCAAACTTGGGTAAGAATATTGTCCTTTATCAGCTGGCTTCTGTATATCCACCTAGAGTGTCGCTGAGAGTTGGGTGGCATACAAGTTTAATATATTATAATTATAATTATTCCTAGCATTTTTCCTATAGGTGCAGGTTCCACTTTTTTGGAATCAACCATCAACCAAATGTTGATCCGTTGGGTGTGATGGGAATTGACCAACCGGCTTGTTGCCCGAGCCTGACGTCAGGGGCTGAGAGACAGGGACCAGCCCAAAGTCACCCAGCTGGCTTTCATGCCTAAAGTGGGATTGGACTCACAGTCTCCTGGTTTCTAGCCTGGAGCCTTAACCACTAGATCAAACTGGCTCTCTATTATTATTATGGTTGGCCGCACAGTCAGTCAGATGTTTAGACTGGATTTGGCATTTTTATCTACCTGTCAAGTCCTTCCCAAAGACCTGGGGCAACCATACTGTTGGTCCTATTTGCTCAAGTTAGCTCTATTATCCCCTCCAGCATCCTTCTCATACACGCAAACCTCCCACAACTGCTTGCTGTATGGAGGGTGTCTCTCCTGGTCTCTTAAAAAATCCAGGTTAGCCGCTTGATTTTTTTCCTCCTGGCTTCAGTATCCCATCTGGAGAAATAGTACGTAGGTGTCCACTTTGGAATAAGAGCAGACCCCATTCCCTCTGGCTTTAGCTGCTTTTCTTCAAAGAACCTCTACTCTTCCTCCATCAGCGTCCTACCTGTCGAAGGAAGGTGATGGGCTGCTGTCCCATGGCATGAGCATCACCAATGTTGGCCTTGATGACTTCCGTGAAAGGCTTTTTGATACCCTGAAGGGAGAAAAAGAAAACTTGTGACACAGTAAATCCAAGCTTTTTAGACCAAACCCACCTAGGAGGATATAACTGATCAGCAGTTCCCAACCCTCTCTTTTATGTAGACCACTGTAGTGTCACTGAACATTTTTGAGGACTGCTCTTTAAGACAGGCATCCGTAACATGGTACTTGTGCATCACACATTCTCCTCCATCTCCTAGGGCAATTACAATATCCCTAAATGATTATT